AGCCTCTACTGGGGATTAATTCAAGGAAGGTTAAAGAAAAATTGGCCAGTGTTTTTGAGACTGTGTCTCATGGTAGGGTTGTAGATCTAAATGCAGACACCTGTTTACATGAGCACTGAGCCCCTTTTAATCGGTTCAACAGGTGCTGAATTTAAAGCCCACATTTTAGCCCACCTGAAATCTTATGGTGGTTTTAGAACGACAGTAGGAAACTCGGCCAAGGAATCAATTAGAGAGCGCATTGCGCAGTTCATAACATTAATCTTCAAGGCAACGTTTCCCCTCGCATTTCTGCAGAAATCATGTTAATAAGTAGCTGCAATATGTACTTGTGCTGCTTGTTTGTTATCAGGCAAAGCCATGTGCACTAAAAATGTGTAATTCAGAAATCAGCTCCCATGAGGTCATGTTAAAACACACCTATGATACATCACAAGTACAAAAGCAGTCCCTCTCATCCACATCTTAAATCCACCCAGACAAGAGCTCAGACTGCCCTTGTGCCCCTGCTGGGAAAGTACCCGCACTGAAACAACAGCGATAGTTACAGCTCTTCTCCACCATGGGCACGGGTAACTGGATTGGCTTTAGGTAACTAATTCAGTGTATCACCCAAACTACGCGTGTGGTTGAAGCATGCAAAGCATCACTTCTCCTTGCAGTTTTGGAGCTGTGCCAGGGGGAACAATAGCAAGGCCGGGGGATAAGGTAATGGCCCAGCTGAAGTGCATCTACACCAATGCACTCAGCACGGGTAACAAACAGGAGGAGCTGGAAGCCATCGTGCAGCGGGCAGGCTACGACTTGGTTGCCATCACGGAGACGTGGTGGGACCACTCTCATAACTGCAGTTCTGCAATGCCTGGCTATAAGCTCTTCAGAAGGGACAGGCAGCACAGAAGGGGTGGCGGTGTGGCTCTCTATATTAGAGAGTCTTTCGATGTTGTAGAACTCGAGGCTGGGAATGACAAGGTCGAGTCCCTTTGGGTTAGGATCGGCAGGGACAACAAGGCTAGTGTCCTGGTCGGGGTCTGTTATAGACTGCCGAACCAGGATGAGGAGACGGATGAGGTGTTCTACAGGCAGCTGACAGAAGTTGCAAAATCTTCAGCGCTTGTACTCGTGGGGGACTTCAACTTCCCTGACATATCCTGGAAGCACAACACAGCCCAGAGAAAGCAGTCTAGGAGGTTTCTGGAGAGAGTGGAAGATAGCTTCCTGACGCAGCTGGTTAGTGAACCTACCAGGGGTGGTGCCCTGCTAGACCTTCTCTTCACAAACAGAGAAGGACTGGTGGAGGATGTGATTGTCGGGAGCTGTCTTGGGCAGAGTGACCACAAAATGGTGGAGTTCTCTATTCTTGGCGAGGCCAGGAAGGGGACCAGTAAAACCGTTGTATTGAACTTCCGGAGGGCTGACTTTGAGCTGCTCAGGACACTAGTTGGTGGAGTCCCTTGGGAGGCGGTTCTGAAGGGCAGAGGAGTCCAGGAAGGCTGGGCGCTCTTCAAGAGGGAAATCTTAATGGCGCAGGAACGGTCTGTCCCCACGTGCCCAAAGACGAGCTGGCGGGGAAGAAGACCAGCCTGGCTCAACAGAGAATTGTGGCTTGATCTTAGGAGAAAAAAGAGGGTTTATAATCTTTGGAAAAGTGGGCAGGCCACTAGGGAGGACTATAAGGATGTTGCAAGGCTGTGCAGGGACAAAAGAGTTGTGGTAAATGGAGTCAAGTCCAGTTGGAGGCCAGTCACTAGTGGCGTTCCCCAGGGCTCGGTGCTGGGGCCGGTCCTCTTTAACATCTTCATCAATGATCTGGATGAGGGCATTGAGTGCATCCTCAGTAAGTTTGCAGATGACACCAAGCTAGGCGCGTGTGTCGATCTGCTCGAGGGTAGGAAAGCTCTGCAGGAGGATCTGGATAGGCTGCACCGATGGGCTGAGGTCAACTGCATGAAGTTCAACAAGGCCAAGTGCCGGGTCCTGCACCTGGGGCGCAATAACCCCAAGCAGAGCTACAGGCTGGGAGAGGAGTGGTTGGAGAGCTGCCAGGCAGAGAAGGACCTGGGAGTGATGGTGGACAGTCGGCTGAATATGAGCCAGCAGTGTGCTCAGGTGGCCAAGAAGGCCAACGGCATCCTGGCTTGGATCAGAAACACTGTGACCAGCAGGGCTAGGGAGGTGATCGTCCCCCTGTACTCGGCTCTGGTGAGGCCACACCTCGAGTGCTGCGTTCAGTTTTGGGCCCCTCGCTACAAGAAGGACATCGAGGTGCTTGAGCGGGTCCAGAGAAGGGCGACGAAGCTGGTGAGGGGCCTGGAGAACAAGTCCTACAAGGAGCGGCTGAGGGAGCTGGGCTTGTTCAGCCTGGAGAAGAGGAGGCTCAGGGGCGACCTTATTGCTCTGTATAAGTACATTAAAGGAGGCTGTAGAGAGGTGGGGGTTGGCCTGTTCTCCCACGTGCCTGGTGACAGGACGAGGGGGAATGGGCTAAAGTTGTGCCAGGGGAGGTTTAGGTTGGATCTTAGGAAGAACTTCTTTACTGAAAGGGTTGTTAGGCACTGGAACAGGCTGCCCAGAGAAGTGGTGGAGTCACCATCCCTGGAAGTCTTTAAAAGACGTTTAGATGTAGAGCTTAGGGATATGGTTTAGTGGGGACTGTTAGTGTTAGGTCAGAGGTTGGACTCGATGATCTTGAGGTCTCTTCCAACCTAGAAATTCTGTGATTCTGTGATTCTGTAATTTGGTTCCTGGTATTTTCAGAAAACACAGGCAGTGTATCTGTCTACACATGGTCCTTCCCCAGAGGGTGCCACTAACAGCTCTGCTTCCATATGCGTGTGTGTCCACGGTCAACTTCTCGCGCTGTCAGTACCGCATGAAAGCTGAGTCTGCAGACTGTAAGCTGAGAGGCCAGACAAGCCTGATGACAGCAAAACAGATCAGGAGGCTCTTCAGTACCGAAGAAACACTGGAGTAGATGGCACAAGCTTTTATTGACGCCCGACTATTGCCTCCCAACCCCTGTTACCCACTTCCCTTGCAGATTGCTATCAGGCTCTAATGGATTATGCTCTGACACAGCCAGCTGAGTGCTAAACCCCACGAACTCTTCCTGTTCCCTAAAATTGCTGCCTTGCAGATAGTAGGGTGCTATTTTCTCTCACACTTGTGGGGGCGGGGTAGGAGGCTTTCGAGCTTTTCAGGGACTGGGATGATGTAAGCTGGAAACCTCTTGGGACAGCATGTGCACAGTACAGGAGCCACAACCTCCCCTGCCCCGCTGCAGCTCACGCAGATCATGCCACAGCTCTGCCTGGCTTCGCTCCTACAGACACCCAGGGCAGGAACAGGGCCCCCCCCCACACCCCCCCGAGGCACACACTGGGCAGCAGGTACTCTCCTCCCACACACCCAAGGGACTTCCCTTCAGCTCTCGCTGGGACAAGCTCCAAGATTGATTTCCGTGAGGAAGTGTATGCCGCCTAACATGCTCAAGGAGCCTTGGGGAGGGCACGGCGGAGGGGAGAGGACTGTCACAGCCCGGAAGCAGCACTTCTTCATCCTACAAAACCCTGGTCTCCTCCCCGCATGGGTCATGGGATCATTTCTAAGCATCTAGAAAAAGTAAGAAGAAATTCAGCTCTGCAGCAAGGTACTCTCCTCTCCTCCCGAGGCCCTATCAGACTGATATCCCCAGGATACCAGGGAGTGCTGACAGACGGTAATAAGAAGGGAAAAGCATCGACCAAAGAGCCACATCTAAGAAGTTTCATGTAACAAGACCTAATGCCCACAACAGAACCTTTCCCAAGGGCGGCAGCAGCAGCACAGCTCCAGCACTACTGGGACAAGGCTGTCAGCCCAAAACAAAGGCATCTTATCAGCAGCAGGAATTGGCTGCCGTCAAAGCAGCGCTGATCTTGTCCTCATTTCTCTAATGAGCCCCCAGCGGAGTTGAGACAAGGCAGCCTGAAGGAGCGAGCCTCACTTCACATGCCTTTGAGATAGAGATATAGGCATCTACTTAAATCAAGGGCTTAAATCACTCACTCAAGTTCAGCATGCAATTCCCATTCACTTCCTTGGAAGTCAGAGCAGTCTCTCATTGCATAACTACCAAGGAAAAAAAAAAAAAAAAAAACACACAACAACACACACACACACACCACAAAGCACCAAACAAGCAGCAGCAGCAATGCTCACACAGCCTGCTCTCCCTCCACGCTCCTCCCAGCCGAGTGCTGTTGGGCATTAAGGCTTCCAGGAATTGTCCGGAGCAGGGCACCCCACCAACCTCTCCCTGTACCCCCCAGGTCTGGCTGCACCCTGAAGTATTTAGGGCTCTGCTCGTTACCTACACGGAGAGGTCTGCAGGGCAGCAGGGCTCCACAGGAGCCGGGCAGAGCCTTCCTGTCACCACAGCTACTTGGGGCTTCCTCGGGAGCCCAAACAGCCTCCACCAGCACTCGAAGTTTCCCAACTTGCATTGATTAGTGGCAGACACCGAGCGCTTATCAGGCTCGACACCCAGCGGCTTCCTTGGCTTGGGGACGCCCTATTTCTCCGTGAGAACAGCAGGGATAACAAGGAAGCCGCCCGCCTCACAAACTTCAGTGCCAACCCCCCAGGAAATCTTCCATTTACACGGCACGCGAGCTCTCCATGGAGATGCAGCTCCAATTCTTGGCGGTGCTCGGGGCGGCTACGGCTCCAGCCGGGCTCAGGAGATGCCGGGGGTGGGGTGGGGGGGGAGAGCCCGGCCCCGCAGGCTGGGAGCTCGGCGGGGCTGCTCCCGCAGCGAGCCCCAGGGCAGCGAACTAACGGGGGGCACGGGGGGGACCCCAGCTTCCCAGCCCGAGGAGCGGGCGCAGCGGCTCCGTCCCCGCTGCCCCTGACCCCGGGAGCGGCCGGGCTCCGTCCCCTCCCTGTCCCCGGGCAGGTCCAGGAGCGGTCCCCAGCTGCTCCGCACCCTCGCCGAGTCCCCCCCCCCCCCGGTCTTTTACCTTGCGCACCCCGCCGAAGCCGTGCTCCGCAGCCAGCCGCTCGGCCTCCGCCTGGCCCCCGGCGTGCAGCTCCACCAAGAAATGGTTGGTGTAGACAGCAGCCCGGGTCGGGGAGCCGAGGAAGAGCAGGAGGAGGAAGAGGAGGAGGAGGAAGGCGCCTCGCAGCAGCAGCAGCGGCGGCCCCGCCGGCATGGCCCCGCAGCTAACCCGCAGCCCGCCGCGCCGCGGGGAGGGCGCCGGCAGGGCGAGGCGGGGAAGCGGCCGAAAGCCGGGGGGGTGGGGGAAAAGCGGGAAGAAAAAGAGGGGGGGGAGTGAGGGGGGGGGGGGGGAACGGAAAAAAAAAAAAAAAAGAAAAAAAAAAAAGAAAACACACACACACCAAACCACCCCACCGGGAGGGAACGGGGCGAAGCCGAGCGGGAGGCGGGGAGCGGCCGGGCTGCGGGGGCTGCTCCGGGGGGCGGGAGCGCGCTGCCGGCTCCGCGGCGGCTGGAGGGGGGGCACCCGCCGGGAGGGGACATCGCCGCGCTGCCAATCGGGGCCGAGCCGGCCCCCCCGGTCCCCTACAGCCCCCCCCCCACCGATCCCCCACAGTCCCCTCCGTTCCCCCCCTATTCAGGGGGGCGCCCCGAAGGGAGCCGGGGCTCAGGGAGGTGCCCGGGGGAAGCCCCCGGGGGCGCGGACACGGGGTGGGCATGCAGGGGGGTGCCCCGCGGTGGGGCTTGGGGGGGCACAGGTAGGCAGGGACCGGCCCGGGGGGCTTTGGTGGGACAGCCGGGGACGGGGGGTGGCAGGGGAGGGCAGTGCTGTGAAAATAACCCGCTGCTTTCACAGCTCCGAGGGAGGGGACGGAGTGGGGATGCTCACGGCAAGGTGTGTGCCAGGCTGTTTCTGCAGCTGGCGGCAGGGATTTGGCTGCATTAAGTGAATCTTTTGCTCGGTCCCCTGGGGAGGGCTCGGGACACAGCCAGCAGGGGAAGGCAGGGCCACCTTGCGACCACACGGCCACGGGGTTGCTAGAAGCCAACCGCAAAGGACCCGGCCGAGCACCCAACTTAAAACAGTCCGGGGAACAAAGGCAAACAAAAATCACGGGCAGGAGTCTGCTCCCGTTAGCCTCAACTGCTTGAGAAAATGACAGAAAAGCCGACCGCGTGATTGTGAATCCAAATGAGCATCGGTTTGCCATGACAAATTATTGATTTCCTTCTTCTGGATTAAAGAAAATCCCTATTCAAACAGAAGGGAAATGGTAACTGGGAGCCTGATCCAAAGCCCATTTAAATCAACAGCAGTGCTGTAAATGAATGACTGATGTTGGGGGGAAAAATCAAACACCAGGGAAAGGTAAAACATTGGAAATGGCACGGCAGAGAAGGAAAACATCTTTGCAGCCTCATTAAGAACCTATGTCAATAGAATGCTGCTTTTAAATACCTATTCTCAGCACATGCAGTTATTAAAAACAACTTTATATGTTATTTCTTGAAGCCGAGCTGTGTTTCCATCGATGCTCAGCAAGCCCTCCCCCAGCACCAAGGCTGCCCCTGCTACAACGGGTTTCCAGGTGACTTGGGGCCGATGAGGCTCTCCAATCAGCAACACCTGCTGGCGACGGCTCACCAGCCAAGGCAGGCCCTACTGCTTCCCATCCCCAGCTGTTCCTTGTGACCAGAAGCTGAGGGAAATTAAAACAGCAGCAGCAGGGAGGGATTTTCTCTGCTTTAAAATTTCCTGCGACCATATATATTTTTTTTCTTCCCCCCATCTTCCTTTTCTTGGTGTGCCTCTTTCCGTTTTGTTACTAACCCACAGAGAGAGGCCCATCAATAACAAAGGCAGCGGAGCAGTGCTCCTGGCTCCATCAGTCAGCAAGACAAGAGCCTGCCCTGCAGGACCCAGGACCATGCCATGGATCTGGGTGAGCAGCGTGACCACAACAGTCACAGCGCATCTCCTGATGTCCCCCACTGCCAGCCAAGGGTACAGTTCCACAAGCCAGTGCTGCCAAAGAACATGCGTGGTGAGGGGATAGCACCTACTGGTTCTAGCTTGTAAACCTCGTAATGTTGAGCTTCAATAGTTCTAGTGATGATAAAGAAAGCCCCAAAAAAGAGATCAGATTAGGAAAGATCAAGTTAAAAAGTCAGATCTGAATGGTTCCAGAAAATGTCAGTTCAAAGATGCCATTCACACAAAAATGGTCATCTTGAGTTTGTGACTGTAGAAGTTTTAGACCAGACATGACCACTGGGATTTCTGGCCTAGTACTTTATGTAAGCTGTAGGACTTTATTCATTCTTGCTTGTGACCATATTCCTTTTTTTTTTTTTTTTTCCTTAATGTGACAAAACTTGAGTTAAAAATCAAGGCTGTTCCTTTACAGCCATTGTGGAGATGTCCCAAGTGATTGCTTACAGCCATTTGTAAAAACAAATTGTAACACTGCCTCTTTTTAAAATACTAATTGGTCCCACATTGACATCTAGATAATGTTTTTGTTATGAATTTGTCTGCTGAAGTGCTGAAATTTTACTGAAGTTCTCCTCTTCAAATAGTAACTTCAAGGTTGTGACGATAAAGCATCTAGCTGGTGCTCCCTGAGTCTCTTTATGTAAGGCACATTTTCCAGCCCTTCAACAATTCCCAGTAAATCTCCCTGTTCTGTGAGCTATAACTGCACCAGGTATTTCAGCAGGGGCCAGACCAGTGCTAAATGGATGGTGCATCACGTTTCTGTCCTGGCTGGGTACCCGGAGTTTCATCAGCCAAGGAGCCCATTCAGTCTCCTTACTGCAGACACTGCCCAGTGCCCAGCAGAGTACCCATGCTGACTTATACACTGCTCTTCTACCTCAAGCCCTCTTCAGGACTGCTGCTCTCTAGGACAGGTTATTGCATCCAGCATAGCCAATGATCTTTGTCCCCCACTTTAGCATAGCCAATGATCTATGTAACCCCACTTTATTGAAATAGATAGATGGATAGATGTCATTTACTTGCATGCAGCTTTCCAAATAATCCAGATCAGTCAGCACTCCTCCCTTTTATGGTTTATGACTTCCTTCTTTAACCTACAAACTTTATCAGTAATGAATATACATTGATGTACTGGATTTAGCAAGGTCTTACAAAGATCATTTCTTGGCCCCAGTTCTCTGGAACATCTCCAGAAACAAATCAACCACAGCAATGATTCCCACTTTCTAATCATCCTTAAGCATTTAATCAGTTTTTAGTCTGCTTCACAAATGCCATTTTGATTTTGTATCCAATTTATTCACCAACATGTCGTGCAATATCAAGTGTCTCCCAGATACAAGCAATGCTGTAGATACGATGGATCAAAAAGCCTGCATGTTGTTTTCCCAGCAACATCAGTTTGTCCAGTAAAAGAGACTAAGTTTCCCCATAAATCTTGGCTCATTTAACAGAAGACTAATGAACAACACTACTAGTTTTACTAGTCAAAACTAAAACAGTGCTAAATATATATATATTTACATATATAAAATGAGTTTAACATTTCTTGTTCCCAAATGTATTGCTGGCAACATAGTTAAGCAACCATTAAATCATATCCCTGTGGCTATTTTACAAGTAGCTGGCATTCAGTATGAGATCAACATTTATAGGTGTTTCTCTCCTTGGGGACTGCACAGGATGGTACCATGCCAAAAAGGCCAGTGTGTCAAAGGAAGGTGGAAGAACTCATTTTCTCACCATGAAAGTCACTGAGTCCTAAGAATAAGATTCACATTGGTTACATCTTCAACTGGTTGTCCTAGAAGGAGTGTGAGCAGTAGCATCCTGAGGAGGTGGCAGCAGAAAGTTGCAATGACTGAATCTGAGTGAATCTCACGAGCATCGTTTTGCACAAGTTCAAGTCTCCATGAAACCTATCTTTCTGAGGCTGTGAACTGAGCAACCACCATGCTTTAACTGGACTCTGGAGCAGGCTGAAGGATAATACTTAGATGCAGAGCAACAGAGATGGGGCTAAAAGGGCATGAGGAGAGATTTCGAAAGGAAAAATTGGATACCTAATTTACAAAATAAAACATGGCTCTAAGAGCAACAGTATTGCTTGACAGTCGTATTTAGAAGTTATTAATGGAGATGGGGAATAAGCAGATGTATTTGAATAAAAGCATGTAGAGCCCTATATTCTCTGCATATCCAGAACACCAGAGTATTTGTGTAATTAAAGGTACGGTATGAGGAGAACAGAGTGCAATGCTATCCGAAATTTCCCTTTGACCTACTTCACCTAAGCCACTTCAGTTAAAGTCACTTCAGAGTGATTCCGGAGCAAGAACTCTAAAGCTATGTCTGTGTGGCAGCCTTACCTGTTGATCATCTCGTGAGAGCATTTAAGAGCAAGCTTTACACTGGCTTGTTTTGATGCTGAGCAGCACCCAGATGAGGAAAGCAAAGCAGACCACAGTAAATTAGCCCAGAGAGAGCACTGCTACCACTGCCCCACTTTGGGCTGATTGCCAAGTCAGGCATGACTGTCCTGCAGAGGGTTTTCATAAAACACATCCAGGCCATCTGAGCACAACTGTGCTCAAAAGACTGCAAATTGATGAAGCCAAGCAAAACTGGGGTTTTTGTGAGGTGGTGCTAGGTTAAAGAGCTTGGGATAGTTATCTCTGATAATTTCGAGATCACTTGCCCTGCATAAAAATACCAATCTCAACATTTTCATTGCTGTTTACTGCCAGACTATTACTGTTATAAATACATTAATGACGACCATTGCATTATTCACAGTCTAATGGCTTCTGATTGCTGTATGTTATGTTAAAATGCAGTTAGTGGAGAGGGAGGGCCATGGCAGGCACCACTTCATATTTAAGGTATGTGAACCTAGGCAAGTCAGCAGCCACCAGACACGGGAATGAAGCACCAGGCTGAAATGATTCATGCCATCACTTTGTGGGGCTGTAAGGACCTTGCATGCTTAAAGGATACCTGAAGACTGGAAGCCTAGACCACACTTTTCTAATGAATTAGACTTTAAGTTGCAGGCATAATTCTCTCAACACACGTTTATCTATACAAGTGTCATACTGCCAAGCATCTGAGTGAATTGGAATTATATGCACTAATTTAGTGACATGATAATGCAAATAGTAAAGAAGAAGAATATCAGAACCGTTTTGGGGCATTCATTGACTGCAGGGCAGGTGGGCTGAGCAGAGAGTTGCAATTTCCTCCCCAGTCAGTTTTGTGTTTCTTCCATTTATTACTTCTAGATGTAAGGAACAACAGAAGGGC